ACTGCATGTCTCGGGGACACTCTTGGTCTCTTAAGGCCCCTTTTGTGAGGTGACACGGAGGCACTTGCATGTTGTCCTTGCCTTTCGGAGTGTTTTGTTTCCAGGAGGCTATAGGCTGAATCTAACAAGAAAAGCCTGCTCAAAACCTGTCTGAGGTTGATCCTTTGACTATTAGTCAGCACAGAGTTTAATATGGACTGAATAAATGTTTGCAGATGAGAAGTCTTATTAATGCAAACCCCACATTCAGAAAATGTGCGAACTGTTAACAGTGACTGGGTTCAGAGGACTAGCAAAGAAACAGGACTAGAACCTGTCAGAACCTGTATTTGGACCCAGAGTGAGTGAGGGTTGGGGTCTACTGACCTGAGCACTCAGGGCCTGTAAATCATACTGAAGAATTTTACAAGGATGCATCGGTCCGAATTAAGACCTTAGCAATCTAATCAAACACGTACTGGTGTTCATGCTGCTGCTCCGCATACTCCTGTTTATATGTGAACAGAGCCAAAAAGTTTAACTCCAGCATCCCCACTCAGTGGGCACTGCTGCCGGGCACTAAATCAATTACAGTCGGGCAAAGTAAAAAGATGCTTGTGTCGTGAGATTAGCAGTGGGACCACAATGTAATGGGTCTTCTGACACCAGTACTGCATTAGCTGTTTTACTCACTACGCTTGCAGAGCCCATATATTCTTTTTACCTCATCTGAGGATGATTTTTACAATCTTTTCTTCCATTCAGAGACTATTCCTTAAACAGGGAAGATAAGCAGGTGGCAAACAGCTAGTGTGGCATATCACACGCTGCAGTGCATCCAAGGGGAATCATTTCTTTGCCCAGTAAAGTCTTTCTTTCCCATGTCATATCAGTAGCTATTGGTCCTTTCTTCTAAACCTCTGGGCTCTTGGACCCACAAACTGTTTCAGCAAACAGTTACAGAGGAGGCTGAGCCACAGCTTTAACTCATCACTCTAGGGAGCTTACATCTCCAATAGATGGATGTCCTTATTTGTGATCATACACAAATCCTTCTCCTGCATCATGAGACTAGAGGAAAACATAGCTCATATTTTCATCCCTTGATGAGTGTAATTCCACTCACACGGAAGTCTAGAGTTACTCCAATATTTAGACTAATTCCAGCCTTCCCAAAGTCAGAAGGGGAGCCAAGTGCTGAGCGGGCTGGAAGTGTAATTCTGCTATCAACAAGTAGAAAGGAAGAAATATTCCTCTATTGATTACATAAAAATATGCATGACAGTATTTTGCAATAATTGCATTTCTTGCTCAGGGTACTTTCCACAGACATTTCAAAGAATCACAGAATGGTTAAGGTTGGCAGGGATCTCCAGAGATCATCTAGTGCAACCTTCCTGCTCCAGCAGGGACACCCAGAGCATGTGGCATCCAGGTGGGTTTGGAAGACCTCCAGAGAAGGAGACTCCACAACCTCCCTGGGCAGCCTGTGCCAGGGCTCTGCCACCCTCACAGTCAAGAAGTTCCTCCTCACCTGCAGATGGAACTTATTTTATGTTTCAACTTATATCCATTATATTTGTTCTAGAACGAGCTTCTCCGCTGATTCAGGTGCTATTAACATTTTCCTTAGATCGTTTTCACAAAAGAGGAGAGACACTGATGTCAATGTTGAGAAATTTGTGAAGATTCACCACTTTGGTGTCTTGGGGTATTTTAGGGCAAAATAGACTACTGTGATTTGCTTCCTGAACTTCCTTATAACCCAGGCAAGCAAAGTTCACACGATAGCATCTACTTCAAAGCCAGTGACCGGCAGCAGAGCCAGAAGACACTGGACCTTAGCTCAAAGACTTCCTATCCCCCCCTCATTATCCTGACTCATTAGTGTAATTACCACATGTGACCAAAATATGAACTTTATTTCTAGTCAAATTCCTGATATTTACAAATTAACTTATATTAAGCTACTTTATCTTCTGTAATAACAAATGAACCTACTGTTTAGCAGTTATGGATCACACCTACTTGTCAAAAAATAAGCTTGAAGGAAATCAAATGGCACCTGACAAAACCTGATAAAAGACAAGTTCAGAAATTTCAGGTCTTCAGTGACAAATACAAGGACACTGATGCTTAAAGCAGTGTGAAGAGTATAAGAACAAACCTTTTGTGGTTGTTGTGAGGAACATGATTAATACAGGTGTGATCCAGTGAACAATAAGTGATTGATATGTTTATTATTTGAAGTTCAGGTTTGATCCGTTTCAACTCACCTTAAATGAATTTGGCTTAAGAGAGACACTGCTTAGCTAATTGTACCTGGGGACTGTTGGCTCTGACTCTGCTTTCAGAGATGCCCAGCTCTGAGAATTTCCCACTGAGAAATGAGAATCAGGCTTTACAGCATCACAATTCCTTTCGTAATGAATAACATTAAGGAACACACAGCAGCAGTTTACTTCTAAATGGGATATTGCTTCAAAAAATGGAAATAGAAAAATGAAATCTCTTTTTCTATATTTGTAAGGACTTTTATGCAAACAATCCACCACCATCAATATGAAACATTTTGTCACACCAAACCTGAGGTTTTCATGCATACAACACAGTTTAAAAAAAAATAAAGCATAGAAAGGGTTAAATACCCTTTTAATTTCTCACTGATGTACTCTCTAGGCCACTAATAATGCACAGATACCAACTGGCCTTCCCATTTTTTCAGGCAATCATTTAGGAATTCAAGATTGATGCATAATCTTCCTCGTGAAGAAGTTTCTGTAGCAGCTCCAAATATCCACAAAGGTTAGTCTGCTAATGAGACTTTATCACAAAACCTGTGAAAGAAAGGGCAGGAGATGATTTATTTAGGTGGATAAATGACTGTAAACAAAAGAAAGCATTTTCTGAAATTCCTTAATTTACTTACTTTCTGAAGAAAAAAAAGTTCATTCTCCTTTAAGGATGACATATCTATGACAGCATTTTTTTTTGAAATACCATTTTGTTTAATAAATCATGTAAATTTCTGCATCTAAACTAGAGCATTACAGGCAGGCTGGTAAATAATTAACAGCTCGATGGCGTGAAGGGGGAGAAAACACCCAATTCATCAAATGAGGCAGGAAGCTGGTTATTTACAAGAAAAAAAAAAGGTTGGATCCTCCAATGCCTGTGGCTTTGCTGGAGTGTGGGAAGAGTTTGCCATATGTTCAGGATGCCCATTGGAGAAGGGGAGCCTGGGGTGTTCTGGGTTGCTGCAGACTTTTTATAAAGGGGCACAAATAAAAGTTCTTCCATGCTTGGGGGTTTTAAGTTGTTTCTTTGCACCCTTTAGCGTAAGTTCCTACTCTGGTATTCTGCTCTGGTTTGTCTTTGCAATTGCTCTGTTGCATGTTGTAGCATTCCTTTTAAGGATCTAAAAATACAGTACTCGGTGAAATAATCCTGAATGCTTTGGGGAGGCTCTTGGAGATGCTCTTGCTCATGTGTCAATGCTTTTGGACAATCTTCATGGCTCAGTCTAGGCCTATGGTGGCTTATATAAGGTGAAGCTTAAGTCCTTTCTGCAGGCATCTGCAGAACGCCAGAGAAGAAGAGTCTGCTCAGACACCCCTAAGTTAGCCACCTCTCACCCTGTGGACTCTTCCCTCCGTGGGAATATACAAAATTTATATGTCCTATACTTAGGCTTCCATAGAACAGGAAAATAAGCATTTTAACTCAGTACCCTGGATTTCCAGCTGTGCATAGATGCTGCTCATAGCACGTTTTCATGCACAATGCAGCCATGTTATTGCTTGAGTTTTCTCTGGGTAAACTTCTGCTGATGCTTCTCACAAGTGGACACCGGTGGTAGCAAGAAAAAGGCTGAATGTATCCAGGACTCTCAAATAAGCTAACCTGAGCATACGTCCTCAAATTGTATATGGCAACTTGTATATGGCAGTCCTGAGCATCCTTTACCAGCTTTAGTAGAGGAAATGAAAGCAGTCATAACTCTCACAAATGTTGCCTTTGGAAATAGGGCAATTTATGTAGGAAAAGCTCTTCTACACATTTTTCAGTATTTCAGAAAGCACCAAGACCATTATTAGACTTGAATTTCACGGAAGGTGTTCTTGGATCAAGTACTACAAAAGTACAACAAAAGCTTAAGGTACAAAAATTTTCTGTGATGCTGGCTGTTGTTCTCTTTACCCCTGAATCTTCAAGTTTTGAACCCATTACAGCAGTAACATCTTATTTGGACCATAAAAACAACTAAACAGGCTGCTGCATGGACTGGCAGAAATGTTCTGCCTTGTGAAAGCAGCTGCTTTACCTGTGCAGGCTTTCCTGCATGAATGACTCTAGACACATTAAAATGAAATATGCCAGTCAAAGGTGCTACCTTTGCAGTTAAATTGCAGTGATGTGATTTAAGAGTCAGAATCACAAGGTCCTAGCAAGCTGCTTACTGTAACTGCTCGGTGAAAATATTAAAATTATCAGGAAGCAAAACACATTATACAGAAACTTGTGGTTTCCTAAAAAGCAATTGGCTGCCCTAGGCCATTCTGGTCGGTTATTGCCCTGATGAAGCAGTTGGTGGCTATGTAATGCATGTGCATATTACTTGTGCTGATGGGAAACTGGATGTAGAAATGAATTGTAATATGTGATGCTGCTTGTAAAATTGGTATTTCTTAGGAATAACATTGTCTGTGTGCCCAGAAATGGATCTAACGACGTACAGCATTTCTGCAGTGCCAAGCAACCAGGGATTTAATGGCAAAATCAAAGCACTGATTAATTTGTGGTTAATTACGGAACTGCCTTGTAGGTCAGTGTTGCTAGCCACTGCTTTTAGAGGAGGAAAATAGGACAGCAAGGTGATTTGGGCACTAAGCAAACCTGTGGCAACACCATATAAAGCTTATTATTTAGCACACCTGTATTTGGAAGGCTGATATACCCCAAAAAGCACCTGCAAGAAGAAAGCTCTTTGTACAGGCAAGGCGTCAGAGCAAAGGAGAGCAGCCTCAGGGTTCCTGTGCTGTGCATGAGCAAGTCAAGGTATGAAGATGGGATTTACACTGACTCGTCTCCAGCCCAGTCTGGTGCTCTATCATCATCCTCTGCCGTTCTCACACTGAATCCCCTCTTACTGAGAGCTTTGACATGCAGAATCCTGGTGAGTGTATTTACATATGCAGAGCATCTGCTTTTCCATAGCGTTTTGTGCAGCGCTGTGCCTACTGTGTTCCTTCCTTCCACCTGCTCTTCTGAGGGGACCACAGTCCTGCTGGTGAGATCAGTCTGTTGCTATGGAAATCTTTGTCACAAATGAAGATTTCACAGCAAGGCAATAGTATTAAAACCCAGACATTTACATATGCCTCTGGCTGTGGGGGGATTTGGGTCTAGTCCCTGAGAGCAATGAAGATGCAGCCACTCTTCTGTTTCTTGCAGGCAAGGGAGATGCTGGGTGGTGGGGGGACCTCGCCACAGCCTCCCCCAGCTGTGCCGTGGTTGCTTTGTCACCTGGCCTGTGCGATGTGGGTTAACAACCAGTCCTGATGCTTTAATGCCTCTACCTTGGCGTACGCTGGAGCTTTCCTTCTGAAGTGCTGCACTGTGCAGTGGTAATAGCAGCAGCTGGTAGAGTGGAGTCAGGGAAGAGCATTTGAAACTGATATGTGGGGAGGCTTACTGCCTCCTACATCAGTGTACGGAGGCGGAACGGGCCTGGGAAAGGTAGTTTGGGGTAACGGAGTAATCCACACATGCCATCTTCGTGTAACTTCCCCCTAAGCATTGCTAAGTTTAGCTGAATCACTCCCAGCGAGAAACTGCTCATCTAAATCCCAAGGCCTGACTTTGAAATTTTCAGCACATCCCCTGTACGGCAGAATCAAAGCTTCTTCCCTGCTGAATACACCTTTGATCACCACTGTGAGAAATATTTGCAACCGTGTGAAACTTGAATGATTTGGGGTTTCATTACACACTTGAAACTCAGACCATTTTCATCAAAGGCATTGCTAAAGTTCACCAACCTCCTAACAGAACCTTTGATGCTTTGCAGCTTTGCATTTTGTGTGAAACTTACAGGTTTGCTAGATTTTTTACTTTTTTTACATCAAACTAGCTGGAAGTAGCTTTGACTGTGTTTTGGGACCATGGAATCATAGGAACCTCAGCCAAATTTTGTTGCATGTACAACTGCTATATGCTGTGATTTGGGCATAAAAGATGACTGCTGGGAACAAAGTTTCTAGGTTTGCAGTGGCACCCAGGTGGGAGCGTGACAAAGATCACTGATGTGGTTGTCCTCTGCTCTTCACGCTCTTGTCCCCTCGTGTGAGCAACAGAGTTTGAGATTTCTGTGTTGCAGGCCTAAGAAGTATCTTGTCCTATATCAGCCTGGGGAGGTTGATCAGCCTGTACCTACCCCTCCTGTCAGACCATACGCCGAGATCTCAATCTCTGGTTACATGGAACCTGCTGCCTGTCTTTGCCCTGGTTTTCAACCCTAGCAGAATCTTCTCAGCTCTTGCTGTTATTTCCATGGTCTGCGAGCTGTGACTTGCTGTTACTGTCACCTGGAGTCATCCAGTCATCCTGTCTATCCCCTAAACAGTCTGGTCTATGCAGAACAGGGTTGCCATGCCATTTTTGATCATCAAGGAGAAAACAGGGTCTAACACAAACAGAAACATGCTTTCAACTCTTCTAACTTCCTGCCACTAGCAATGAGGATTGTAACAGTAGCTGGATCATAAGAAAGGCCTGGAGTAGATGAATGGATGTTGAATTGGCCACTTGTGCAGGCATTTACCATATCTATAATATTTAGAGTATGTGCTTTCTTCTAACAATGAAGGCCCTGAGTGTTCAGACCACTGTTTTCTATGTAAGACTATTTGTAAAACCTCTTGAAGTCAAAAGAGTCAGAGACTCTGCTGCACAGTTCTGTTTCAGCTTTTATACTTATGGATCTTTCATTTGGGAGAGTGGGAGCTGATTTTAGATTTACCCTTTGTCCAAAACCCCAGTCCCGAGTAAACTAAGATGTTGCTCCTCTCTTCTGGATTGGAAAAAAGCAGAGAGAGTTACTTTTCCATTTTATATCTCTCCTAGAAAAGCCTTTGCATGAAATTTGAATGACAAGTTGCTTTGATTTGCCCACAATGTAAGCCTGTGAAAATCATGCATGTAACTGCTGTACAGCAAATGCTGGTCCCTTGCTGCCCAGGACTAGCGCTGCTGAGAAGCTTCCTGAGGGATGTCAGAAGTATCCAGCCCTTTGTGCTCTTTACAATATGGATTTCTTATGCCATGAAACTCGGCCTTTGCCAAGATTTCCTTGTCTCCTACCAGTGTTTTATTTAATTTGAGGTATGCTTAGAGGCGTGCTTGAGGTGTGCAAGTCAAAGCAAGGTGGCACCTTCTTTGGCGATGACCATGCTGAAGGGACAATCTTTGCCTGTTGCTCTCCCTTGTTCTCTAACTCCTTGGCCACCCCGTCTCCCGGGAGGCAGCTGCCTCCCGCTTCAGTGAAAAACACAGTGCATTAGGGCAGAGTCCAGAGCAATTGTCTGTGATGAAGAGTATATCTGCAAGTCGAAATCATGGTGAAATACAGAAGCAGACTGCATTGCGAAAGAGAGGATCGGAGGCTACAGCAGAGAAAGGAACCATTGCATTCAGTCCACTTACTTCTTGCTATGGATGAGCAAAAAACTTGCACTTCCTCGTAGTTTTCGTGCCCCTCACCGTTCAGGAGTGCTCAGACCCTGTTGCTAAACCTGTCTTCCACAGACATGTCCAAGTGCAGTGAAGCAAGTAACTGGATCACACAGGGCTGGTGGTGCTCCCTTTCATGGGGGTGTCAGGGACGTGACCTCCCTCTTGCTGCTGTTTCTGCACTGAGCAGACAGGCGCAAACCTGATTTACATCAGCTGAACTGAAGTGACATGAGAGTGAAACAGTCACATGTCCTCATTAGGAAGCTCAACAGATAGAGAGGAACGTCGTAAAGGACAGGAAGCTCTGCAGGGCTTGCTTAGTTAACGTGCAGGCAGCCTTTATGTCTCCTTTGTGAATGTCCCCTTCTCACATTACGTGGCTGATTTTCTGCCTCTTCCTTATTTAATGCATTGGAAAGAAAGCTGCACTTACTTATTCCATCTAATCCTCTTAGACTGTCTACTCTCTGCACCATGTGTGTGCTGTGAGTGACTGTTGCATGGCACGGCAGTGAAACACAGTGAATAAATAACAGGTCAGTGGCTGGAGATGGGCCAGGTCTTGTAATAAAATAAATTGTAGGTAGAAATTGTTGAATCCACATTAGAGTGGACAATGAGGAACTGTGTTTGTATCTCCAACTGGCCAGGGCTCTGCTCCCCTGGTGGACACAGTGCTCTTTCCACCTTCACAGGAATCAGAGGCAGCAGGGAAGCCAGGTCAGTACTCTGCAGTGTAGACATGGCCAAAATTACCACTCTGGCATCCCCAAAAGATAAAACCAGGCAAACAATGAGTTGCAATTCTTCAATTGCATCTGAATTAAATTCTCTGTTGCTCACTTTCATTTGGTACCTTGGAGAACTCTGATGTGAGGTTTTAAGGTGTTACCTGTTTGCAAAGCTGCATATACCCCAAGCTTGAAGACTGTGGAGGTTCAGCAGCTTGTGAGACCCTCAGATCTGTGTGCACAGTGTCCTGCGCCTGTGTGTTGAAGTCTTCACGCAAGATGCTTGTCTAGTGCAGGCTTTGAGAGCTGCAGCCTTTGCAACTGAGGGCTGTCTGCGTGAATTCGCTCCTAGCTCACTACAGAAGCACTTTGTTACCTTACAGATGTCCCTTCAAGAATGAGGATTTATAGCAAGTGTGTACACACACAGTCACACACACACATACAAGCAGTGTCCAAATATTGTTGTGGGAATGCTTTTTTTATGTGCAGAAGTGGGACTCCCATGGAGATGAATTGTCTGCCAATATAAGGGCACAGGCAAGTTCTTGGGTACAACTGCCTGTACTTCAGCCCTGCTCAGTTGCTGCCAAAGGACAAAATTCATCAGAGCAAGGGCTGATGGACTGAGGAGGAGAGGACAGCTGGGGACAGACAGAGGAAGAGGGCCAGGCAAGCAGGAAGGAGCTGGTGGTACCAAAAAATAATCTGTAAACAGCTGGAGTGCTAGGAAGGGTGCTAAGGCCGAGAGTCATGACCTGAAAATCAGGACTGGGAGATAATTTGTAAGGAAAAATAACTAGTAAGAACTAATATAATTCACTACTAAGGCTGTGTCCTAAAATCACAGTGTATATCTTTACAAGCATCAGCAAGAGGCAGTGAAAGAATACAACACTACTGTATACACGTGAGCTGGGAAAGTGGAAGAGGATGGGGAGGCATCTCTCATCTGCAGCTCAGACAGGGCCATGTAATCCCATATGCGACAGTTCAGGAAAGGCCACCCTGCCTGAAGAGCGGAGCTTACAGCGGCACCAGCTTTTGTGTGGGTGTGCGCACACGCGGCGTGCATCCAGATTAGCCACGGCGCATATGGATATGGTTGCTAACTATTGCGTGCAAACCGTATGGCAGGTGAGAGTAAGTCAGCACACACGCTGTGGAGAGGGCGGTCAGAACAAGGAATCCTCCCCTCCCGGTGAGAAGGATTTGGCTTCAGCCTCATGCCGGCAAGAAATTTAGAAGGATCTAAGAGCAAAGAAGGGGGTTCATTGGGAACTGGGAGCCTGTCAGACTCAGAGATTAAATGGAAGCACAACAAATCTGGGTTGTTTGTGCCAAAACCAACTTTGATTACTTTGTAATTCAACATGTGTTACCAGTACCTATTATTAGAAATCCAAACTTCCTCCACGGTGGGAAGAGTCTGAGATGGAGCTTTCTAGCCTGGTGTAAGTTAATTACAGTACACATGTTAAAAGCTGCATCTGTCTTAGTCAATCTAGTTGATTATTGCAGCACTTTATTTTTAGTTCTCATCAAGGTGAAGGATGACACTAATATAAATGGAGAGCTTTCCGCACATCTTGCTCAACTAAGCACTCACCAGAACCAGCCATGCCAGGTCTGATAAGACTTTCTCCTCCTGAGCTGCGTGGCCTGGATGTTGCTCCCTGTGAAGCCCTTGATGGACTTGTAAGAAAAAAAAAAAAGTTTCTGTAGTGTGCTTTGACTAAGGAATTGCAACGAAGTGAGACCTGAGCTATAAAATTTGGCAGTGGTTTGGCCTGGTTTAGTCCTGGTCCCGTGCAGGAGATATGGAGTGACCTTTGCTGTACATTGGAGCACTTCTCACTATTACAGCTTCTAACACAGCTCCTCGTGAGCCCCGGACCTGTGGGAGCCCTATTCTGGTTTCTGCTTGGAGCACAGATCAGAAGGCTCTGTCTCCTTCCAAAACTGAAACGAAGAGGTAAACAAGCAACAAAAAGTCTTGAGCAAAAAAAGGAGGCTTTCTTTTGGTTTCACAACAGCAGTCCTCTCAAAGCAGTTAATGAACAGCCTGATGGCAAGGCTGTCTCTATGGACATTCCTCCTGGAGTAGTTATTCTTGCTGTGCGATTTTATGATCAGGAAACCTAATCAGATGGTGATGCAGAATGACAGAGAGAGAATTGTTAGACCCTCATCTGATCTAAACCAGCAATACTCCGTGGAGCTGGATTTATTCCTGTAAGAACGTCTCATGTTTTGGCTTTCTGAATGTGTACGAATAAGAGCCTAATTGCCAACAACACACTATATGTGGACGTTCAGCGGTGATATAACAGGTGCCAGGTGTGCTTTTGTGGCAGAAATGTGTGTGATGCCTTGTGCAGCTGGTGTGATGTGTTTGCCAGATGAAAGGGAAATCTCCAGAGGCTGCTGACTGATGCTCTGCCCTGTAGCAGCATGGTAGGATGATGCTCTCTGATAACAGAGATCAAACCATGGTTCTTCTGATTCCTGTGTCTTCTTTGTTGCTTGTTTTGTTCTGTCATCTCTGGAAAGTTGGAGCTGGAAAAGCTAGGGTTCTTACAATCCAACCTCATCTGTTATGGTACAATGTACAGCAAGGGTAATGAGAAGGTAGCTGTGATCCACAGTGGTTCATCCTTACCTCAGCAGAAGAAAAGTCCCCTATTTACCACTTCTGTGGATCGGGACATTGAAACGGTCAAACCTGGGTTCAATGGCCAAGTGCTCCTTGCTCCCGTATAGGGGCTGAGATGAGGACAGTGCTGTACTGCAGTAGGCACTGGGGATGCAGCACCTCTCTGCTCACTTTTTTAAAGTTATGCATCCAGTATAGGCTAGTGACTGCTCCTGTGATAGGAGACAGTTTGCATTTGCTAAAAGATGACATCACTGACCATCCCTTTACTGAATATAGTCTCCAGGTTCTTCTGCAGAGATGAGAAGTATGAACATACCCAGAGAGCTGTTCTTAATCCCTGGGCTGTATTTCTGATGCAGACAGAGCACAAGCTCTTGAAATGCTTTGAGAAGGATTTTCAGCCTTCTGTTTAAAGTGGGCCTTGATGATGACTGGTCTACATGGAGGGCATCTCTGGGATTGGCACCATAGGAACAGCTGGAGCGCGACAGTCTGTTGAAGTGGTGGAGCCACTGTGTCCAACTCCCACTGACTGCAGCAGGAATGTGTTTATTATGAAACAGCTAATAGCTGTGTGATCAGAGAGAACTGTTGCTCCATGCAAGATGAGCTTCCAAAGGTCACAGTTGCTCTGTGTTTACTCCCAGGAGGTCCGTGATGAGAGTATGGTATGAGGGATGGAGAACACCACGTACTCACTTGCAGGGGCTCATGCCATATGTCTATGTGAGGCTTGTCCTGCAGCCCTCAAGGTGTGGGACTGACCGGAGCATGGGGAAATCCTCCCCTCCGTGGCCAGTAGATCAGCCCTCCTGCTGCGAGTGGCCATGGTGGCCAGGGATATTGTGCACACCAGCTGTGCCCGGAGGCCAGGCACGTGCCCGCACGCTGCAGGCATGCTGGGCTTGTCCTTCCTGCTCGTCTGTGCCAGGAGGAGTGACCGGCATGGTGAAAATGCCACTGCTCAGCGTGAGCCTTTGCAGTGCTGCAGCCCAGGGGTAAAGCATTCAAGTGCTCACACCGAGGGAGCCTCTCCCACCGGCACCAGCTGCAGTGTCCACAGGAGCTCCTCTCCTGCAATGGGAGCATCCCCTCCGCGCCCTGGGAAAGCGGATGAGAGATTGCTTCTCCTTCCATAACAAATAACTTCTCAGCCCGTCCAGGAGACTTTCAATTTAACTGCTCTCTTTGTGCCTTTCATGTTTTCTCTTTGTTTGGGGAGCGCTAATGCAGCCTCTGAATAAGCATCCGTGCTCGCAGGAACAAATAGGGAAAGGATAATAGTATCCAAGGGTTTAGGGGAGAGGTTAAAAAGTGAGCCAGACTACAGACACACTGATGAATAGCGGTCTGCCTGACTAATATTACAAAGGGAAAAGACAGAAAAATCCCAGGAAAATGCCTCTAAGCAGTGATTGCTTTCTCAGAAAGCCGTGCAATTAGACATGAAAGGAGTCCTTCCCAACTTTTGTGAGGCATTTAAAATACTATTATAAAATAATTAAGGAAAATGAAATAACCTGAGACCATCCTTCCCCTACCTCCTTCATTTGTTGAGATGGTGGAGAAGGCCACATAACCTTTCTGAGGAACCTTTACATCATTTCAGTAGGCCTGGCACCCTGCGAGGCTGTGCAATACCAACCAGCAGCAGTACCTGCTGTCCTACAGGAGATAGGAAGTTTTTGGTGTTAACAGTGTCCTGCTGGTATGTCCTGCACAGCCAGAGCCCTCACAGTAGCTATTTCTTAAAGCCTCTGGGACTCCAGGGCCCATCTGAGCTGCTTTCTGTTGCACAACAAGTTAGTCTGCTGTAGAGCAGACACTGTGTGTGTAATGGTGCTCATCTGGTAGTGGCCAGGATCTCCTTGCTTCTGCAGGAAGTCTTTTGTGTAAGCTGAGCATTCCTGAGCTCAGAAAGGACAAGAATGGATTAATTAATTTTCAAATCTGTTCAGCAGCCAACTGGTATCTTCTCTTCAGGTTTTCCATGTTTACTCACTCTGCTGCTGAGAGCTAGAATCCAGTGCTTTTACAAGAAAAATGCTATATATGATCATGCATTTTTAGTATCTTGTTAACTAAAAATGATTCACTAGCTTGAAAGCTCACCAGGCTGTCAGTGCTGAATTTAAAGCATTTGTTAGAATGATTCTCTTTCCTTTTTCCCTCCTGCTTTGCTTCACACTTAATGTCCAGGCCTCCCAGAGAGGCACCAGCTGCTTTGGAGTAGCTCTGCGTGACCACAAGACGTGATCCAGTTGCAGGTGGCAATGTCCCTCTTGGAAGACTGTCCTGAGAGTCGAGACCTCTATGCATGGACGTAGCTGCATGTGTACATCCCTATGTATATGGGACTGTACCTGCTTCTGCTTGATCATTAATGGGTCCCCTCACATCAAGGGGACATGGTGCACTACAGCTCCACAACGTCCTGGATGCTGGTGAAGCCACTTCATATGTTGTAGCAGCCAAATATCTGGCTTATGGTCTCCATAACACATCTGCTTATGGTCTCCATAACACGTCTGCTACGTGTTTGAGGAGCCAGTGCTCCTCATATCCTCATATCCTTCTTCTGCACTCAAATATCCTTCATCCCTGACGAGAACTGCACATCTTTTTCAACCAATTGCTACTAAGGGTAATAGTACAGAACCCAAACCCCTTTCACAGGATTTTCAACGTCACTGAACTCAGGAAATTCAGTGGTCTGAGTAAAAAGGCAGGGTATGATCCACTGGATTTTATTTAAGGGAGAAAAAAAAGTGTCTTTCTGGAATTTTCTAAGAAGAAATGCAGACCAAAGGAGATGTGAAGTTTTCTATTTTTGATATTTTCTTTCACGTCATGAACTCAGCTGAACTGTGTGTATTGTCAAGCATTTCTTTTGGAAAAGCGTGAATTAATGAGTTTCGGGACTTAATACATGCCCTGAGAAAAGCACTTCACTCTTTCTGCTTTTCCCTTTAATGTAAAGTCTCTTTGACAGGTTTTCAGGAATGTTCTTCCAGTGACTCATCTAAAGTGCTGGGGAGAGCCTGAATCTCCAGCGTGATTACCTCGAAGGAAAATGAGACTCCCACGTTTGTGTGTAAGTAGCATTTGATGGATCTATCTCTTTGCATGGGAAATTCACCTTTCTAGATGATTCTAGGTATTAGGGAGGACTTCTTAGTATTCTGTGCAATGTCAAACGCCATTGGCTCTAAGGAGATGCAGGTAGCACCTCATACACTGGTGAAGTGCTAGGGCAATGTAAGTCCCTGTGCTGTCATCCACATGCTTGGCCCACCACATCCTGTGCTGAACCTGCTGTGCAACCAAGCCAGGCCTTGTTGAGACAGCTGTCCCATACAAATCAGTCTGGGACGGCTCAAAACTACTTGCAAAAAGTGAGTTTCACCATCAGAAAGGCAAGAAACTTTTTCTTTCTTTTTTTTCTCTCTCTCTCTTTTTTTTTTTTTTTTTAACAAAAGCCTCAAATCTGGAGGAAGGAGTGAAATCTATGGGGACAGACTAAATCCCCAGAATCTGTGGATTTCTCCATGCTTCAACATCTCATTTTCCTCTGCTTGTGTGAAATGAATTAGAGGTTTCAATGCAACTCCTGGTGGAGAAGTGCTCACATCACAGCTGCCACTAATTGGCTCCCTTGTTAGCAGCCTCAGAGAGCGGCAAGGAGCAGCTCTGCTAAGTAACCTGGATTTCTAAAAGCACCAGCAGGTCCCAGCCTGCCCCTAAGGTGGGCCATGAAGCTGAGACGAGCGTTCTGACATTTGACCCCTTCCAAGGAGCAGAACGTTAAGACTTCACTTTCCAGGCCTGCCAATCTTGCATCAAATTCCCTTAAAAGGCTTTGTTTGTGATGGAAATGTCACCCTGATGGATTAATTGAGTTATAACATATGCAAAGTAATGTGGAAAAAAGAATGCAGTTGCATTATCTGTCATTAATGCCACGAATAGGCGCTGCTGCCTGCAGTGACGGCTGTCTTGAATGCTAAAGGATTGCAATCCTAGGTGCACCAAATGAGGTATTTTCATCAGGAAAAATGTAATTTCAGACTCACTCACAGTTGAAGGAAAGGGAAACATATCTGGGAAGTGGTACTGGGGTGAGTAAAGTGGTTCATCTATCAATATTGATAATAACACATAAAAGTGTGGCTTGCGTATTATCTCCCAATGAACAGAAGACAGAGACTGAGTTCCATGTAATTTAATTTCAATTAGTGCATTGGAGCTTTTTAAAGAATGGACTATATATTTTTCCACAGTTACTTGCAGACTATTAAACACAATGCAGAAAAATTATTATGTAAATGAGAATTATCTTACCTGCTTTAGTATCTTTCTCCCTCTTTCTTCCCCAGATAATTGGGTAGGTAGACTTGGGGAAAAAACAGATGATGGGAAGTGTGAATAATAAAATCTCTGCATTACTCTCTCCTCTTGGGTGGAGAGGCCCAAAATATATGTGTGTGTCAGTTTAATTTAATTTGCTCTTAATTAGCTTAAATAGTAGGCTTTCTTTCCTTTGCTTTCACTGCATTTCTGCCCAGGCTCTCATTAGGCGCTGTGCAAAAGCAGGTGCTTATTAAAAATCCCCTCGTGTTTATTTACATTACAAAGCTCTTCCTAACACTTGCAGCAAAGGAAACTGCAGTCTTGGCCCCAGATGCAGCCTGGGGGAGAAGGGCAGCAGCACCCTCTTTCTATGTGTTAAAATCCCAGAGCACTAAATTGCAGTACTTACAGAACTTGGTTTTTTAAAAGAAGTGGTAAGGTATAAGTATGCTTAAGAGAGAGAAGTTGAACATCTCTCACTAGCGTCTTCGGTGTGTGTCTTCAGCATATCCTGCGGTCTGCAGAGGCCGATAGGACAGCAGGGCTTGCACGTACCAGGGTGGAAAGATACTAGTAACCCCAGAGTGAGGAGGTCTGGTTTTCAGTTCTTTTATTCAAGCCATTATAAAATCCAAGAGAAAAAAAAAAAAAAAAAAAAAAAAACTTAGCTCCTTTCTCATTTTCAATTCAGCAGCCTCATCAGTTCCTTCTTTTCATTTTAGTTATCTCCACCTAGAAAAAAATATAGGCATGGAGCAATGACTAAACTGTTAAATACCCTGGCTCTACTTGTGAGGCAGACACGTCCAGCTGTGCTCCAGCTCTGCAGTGCAGAGCGGTAGTTTGCCGTGTTGTCAGGTTAAATGGTTTCCTGTCTTCATCCTCAGTCCTCAGGTGGGCTAGGTTCACTGGATGTGCCCATGACCGAGCTTTTAGAAGGGGGCAGATTGAGCAAGAGTCTGTGAGAACTCAACACTAAAAGGGAATGAAGATGATCAAATAGGTTCAGAGGTAAAGTGTAGTGGTGAATATGGAAAGGAGTAAGACAGAATAGTTGACTCTTTCCTGACCTAACTCTAGAGGAGCTCCTAGAGCTGCAGCAGCCCCTGACAGCTCTCACAGTGCTTGGATACCTTGGCCCACCTGAGTGGCAGCACGACGTATGGCCTCTTGACCAACTCACCCATGGCATAACTTTTGGGGTAATGATGTTAATCGTTCCTTATACCTCAAAGCAACTGCTGCTGTGCTGACAAAATGTGGCCAGGTCAACAGTGATGGTACAGGAAGAGACAGGACCAAAGAGGTGGCTGGGCACGTAGCAGCTCCTGGGGCTTGACCCTTCCTTGCTGCAAATACTCCCAACCAGATAAGGACACAGCAGCAGTGCAACCGGTTCCTTCTCCATTCGTTTTTTTTTTTTTTTTTCCTGAGTTTGCCATCACTGCTATGGGCGCAACTGCTTGTTTGCATTTGGCCCTTGGTATCCATGCTTAGAGCCAAGAGGGACTTGTGAGATAGTTGTGCCCGGTCCCTGATGTCCATGGCAAGCAGCCACATGTCTGTTCAGCAAAGGGATCATGCTGTCATAGTCCCCCAGGAGGCAAAGGACTTGTCCTGCTTACAGCTACCTTCACAGGTGGATTTGTAGGAGAGATTAAACCCAAGCTGCCCTGGTCTCTCCTAACAGCCCGGTTGTGAGGATAATGTGTAATGAGTCCATTTGTTGGGTCTGCTGATGTGATCTGATTTCATACTGTGTATTTAGCAGAGAAGCTCTTTCCCCTTGAGCAGCAGCATGCACTTTGCAGTTACTTCTTTAAAACGAGTTAGTTATACACTTGCTACATGTTATTTTGAATTCTCTTGAAGATCAAGGACGCTACAAAGCCAGGAAGATAAAATTAGCATCGGAGCTGTAGCCTCTGCCTGGTATAAGAAATGCAGATCAGCTTCACTTGCAGTGAATGCTGGAAGGTGAATTTCATTTAAGTCTTCTTTTCAGCAGACCTAGTTCTGCCATCCTTATTTGTTTTGAATGGAGCCATAGTCCATATGCTGTCCCAACATTTTCTACAAGGCAACTTCTAGAGAAATTATCAGCACGGGTGTTGAATGGGACCTCAAACTGATAAGAAATCAGTTTGTTCAAAATCAGTGCTTATTATTTACCCTCAGCTGGATTTTTCAACAGAGGACTGAGGGGTAACAGTAAGGTTGTGCATTTGTATACAGCTCTCAGAAAAGCAGTGCTAAATACAGCACCAAGTTTCAAGGCTGTTAAAAAAAATGAGAATATGTACAAACATAGCCACTGAAATGAGTTAAATATTGGGAAAATGCCTTCAGATCTGGGACTGTGAGGCCCATTTGTTCAGGTTATGTCAGAGAGAGAAAATGATGGGTATTGAGGAGCATTTCAGTGCAGCAGAGGTAAGCCCAACAATTGCCTGAAGTTATATGGACAAGCTAAAGTTTTTAAAGTAAGATTCACTACCAGAAGGGATGGCCCATCAGAAGGAATGCCCGACATGGTGACCTGAAGACTGTCTCTCCATGCCTTTTCATCATGGCAAGATTTTTTGGTCAGGTGCTTTTCAAATGCTCTTTCTTGCTTCTCTCCCCTGTGCAGCTCTATTGCTGGCATCTGCCAACACCTCTCACCACATCCCAACCACAGGCCTGCTCCAACTCAGGTCCAACTCAAGTCCCACCTTGTCTCATGCTGCATGACTGCAAACCACCAAGGACAAAGGTAAGGAGGAAAGTCCAGGTCGGCATCCCCTAGCCCAGCACTCCTCTGACACGCACTGAGCCTCTCCTTGCATGCAGGTTACAGCACTAGAGGAGACTAGGCCAAGAAATGCTTGGCAGAAACTTCAGAGTTTAGATCCTTAAACTTTAATTGTCCTTTGGGGATTCACGTAATACATCCCCCTATGTATTTGATGGTGAAATACTAGTTGTCTACTTGAGGACAGGCCTAAAATTCACCCTCTTAACAGCCTTGCCTGGACCCATCGGGGCTCAGAGATGCAGCACTGTCTGTTGGACCTGGTCCAGGAGGCAACTTCAGGCTCACCTGTGAAATACGGACCTGGACAGAACCCTGTGGGCTCTGCAGCCCTTTTATCCAATGGCTCCAGGATTAAACAACCGCATTCCAAAACTGGTAAACAGTTGCAGATGTTTTAATTTACAAAAGGTCATTATTTTCAGCTACTGATGAGTTATCACCTTCTGAACTCTCATTTCACACTGTCTCAGACTGGGCATCCAGAAGCCAAGGAATCACGTACTTCCAATGAATTCCCACTAAAATAAGAGGCATATTTCCCATCTCTTTCTTTAGACTACTTTCAGAATAGTTCTGAGTATCTCCACAATGTCTGAGATGATTTATGGAGTAAGATCTAAGTTAGATTGTCAACCAACATAAATGGGTATCAATCCCTTGATCTCACTGGATTTATATCCATTTATGCCAATGAAGGATTATTCTTGCAAGAACTTGGCTACAAGTATCCAAGCTTTAAAGTCTAAGCTGTTTTAATTGGACTCAGAGGTAAAGGGTTTCATGTTTCCAAAGTGAATACTCAGTAGGATGAATTCAAAGACACTTTCACAAAGTTACTGATATGCACTTAAAAGTAGGTGTTTCTGGGAAAATCACTGTAATTTATGCTCGTATATTTACAGCAAGCCAACAAGAAATAGGGCAGATGCAGTCCATTCATTCAATTACAACAACCAGCCAGGTCTAGATTATTAAAAGCAATAGTATCATATGCAACTGCTTCCTGCTCTACTAATGGTCATGCTGGGCATTGCCACAAACTTGATACCTGACCCTGACTTCAGGATCTGAATTTTCAGATCCAGATTTTACTTGTGCCTTTAGGGAAATAAGATTGCCATCATCCAGCAGTCCCCAGAGGGATTCATCTTAGAGGAGATGATTGGCCTGTGAGACAGCCCAGCATTGCCTTTGGCCACAAGACATTAAAGCACTAAAACGAGGACCCAAGGGAGTAGCAAGGCAGGATGCAGCTCGTGGCCCACCAGAGACCGGTCACCACTGCTCTATTTATAGGAATAAAAAAAGGACAGGATAAACTGTCACAGCGAGAGCTCGTTATCCCAGCACAGCAAGTACTGGGAAAGCTGATTGACTGCTAGTATTCTGAAATTTTTGTTTTAGTGTATTCAAGTATTTCTTTCCTAGGGAAAAGGAGAAAGTCCTTAAGGACTATGGATGACTGGGGTTCCCAAGACAGCAGGAAAAAAAAAAAAAAACAAGCAAGTTTTATGTCTTACTGTTTTATGCCAAAGCTAATATACACAAATAAAAGAAAAACATGGGAGAGGCAGCTCCTGTCAACTTCCATCGCTCAGGATGCTCATTTGTGAAATGCACCAAAAAAACAGGAGGCAACTCCTTATTTTTGGCAAGTAATGAGTTTACTGGCTTGCTTGCTTGCTCCCCTCTCCCCTTCCCCTCCCCCCCAATCTTTTGGGTTAGCAAAAATAATTTACTCCTATTGTTTATTCTTGGCTTCATCAGAAGACAAGCATGGTTGTGCTAAGCACTGAAGTGCATCTGAAACAGATAGGTCCTTGCCCCAGAAGACCAGGAAATACAGGCAATTATAGCAACAACTGGCAAAGCTGAAGGAAACAGGGAAATGACCATGATTAGAAAAGTTTAAAGACTGCAAAGACAGTGATTGTGTTTCACCTTCCAAGCATCTGCCTAAAGCATCACGGAAATTGTTTGCTTGATCCCCAAGTCACTGCAGGTTGAGGTTTCACACTTTTCTTTCTATCATTTTACATTTCAGTATCTCCTTTTTTTTTTTTTTTTTTTTTTTTTTTCCCCAGTGGAAATATTTCCATCCCAGTATATTACTGAAAGTGTCTTTTTCTTTCCCCTCTGGCAAAGAGCTTGTTTCCCTGCTCTTACTCAACGCATGGAGTGCAGCAGCAGCAGCTGCAAAATGCATCCACAGGGAATAAGGAGACAAGGAGCATGCTACAGCCTTTGTCAGGATTCCCTCTGTTGGAAGCAATGGGACAGCGCTTTTGGTGAGTTTTCTTACCTGTTCTGACACAAAATGCATACCTGTGTGGATATACCCACACACTGGTTTGCATTACCTGCTTCCAAGCTACTGTGAAAGCTGTAGAGTAAAGGAGATGAATGTTATTTCCCAGCTAGGTCTGCTACTTAGAACATGTGGTTTTGCTTTTTTTTTTTTTTTTTTTAATATTGTTTTTACTTACAGTCTTTCTAATCTGCTTGGAATTAGGAAAAATTCAGGCTTGGAAAGTGTTTCCTCATTAGAAGAAATTTTGCAGATTTGAAAACCTCATTTAAATTCCTCCTAATGTTCTTTGGCTTGAGCAAGTGAGCTCTTAATGTCCATTTTAATTAATTAAAACTTTTCCATGGGATTTCAGCTGGGCACCTAATGACAGCAGGTCCCAGGGAGGTGGACATGGTCCAGCTATGGAGGAGACCGCCAGGAACACCGGAGCATCCTTTCCGCGCTCACGCACATCCTCGGGGCACAAGCTGCTGCATGTCTGAGGTGAGGTGGCGGGAGCATTTAAGAGTGTATCTTTGCTTTCCTCACTTTGGCAACAGGAGAAAAACCTATGAAAACAAGCACAGGCTTTGTATTCGGATCATCTGTGGTAGCATGGAGTGGGCAGATCCCAGAAGGAAAAGCACCTGCCCATACCCGGGATGTAAGTGGTTAAAAAAAACATAATATAATAATAATTTCACACTGTGCAGGTGTTGCCACAATCGTGGGTTAAATGTTTGAAAGGTTCCTGGAGGCCTCGCTTTCTCTGGTCATTCCAGCAGCTGGGAGTGAGACAGAGCCCCCCAGTCCATGTCCCTGTCCTGGTTCTGCAGGACTTGCTCCCCATTCAGAGCAGGAGGCTCCATGACACCTCCTCTGCTCCCATTCCAGCATTTTCCACATATCCTCCAGCTTCTGCTCAAACCCTCCGCAGGTTTGCTCGGTGGCTGCAGCTTTTTATGACAGGTCCCAATTTCCATGACAACTGCAATATTCCTTCTCTACCCCACTGTGGGGACACCCCCCAAACAAGCACCTAGATGCTTCTAGAAAATCAAAGGGAAAACAAAACATTCCCCAGGATCTCTGCTCAGGCATCTCACAGGGTGAAGGATAACGGTTTTGGTGATCAAGAGACCCCACTTCAAAAGCAACCAAACTGCCTCTCTCAACAGGGTTATTAATAAGGAATAATTGTTTTAGGTGCAGAGAAAAGAATGCATTCTCTACGCCCTTCCCAAACCCCTGCATTATTTGTTGTTAATGAATAATGAAAGATCCTTTTGTAGTGTTTTCCACCCATAGACGTTAAAGGGATTGTTAGGCAGTAATAAATAGGACTTTATGGAAAATCATGTAAAGCTGTTTTTGATGATAACTTAAATCTGCAGTAATGTGAAATCATCTTTGTTTGTTTGTTTGTTTTGGGGGGTATTTTTTTTAAAGCTTTACAGATATTTTTTTCTAGCAGATGGAGAATTTTGGTCAAAAAGCAGAATGCCCCAACCTTGGGAAGTTATTACTCAATTCTTTCGAAATGTCACTGCACAATCCCATGGAAAGTGCCATGTGCTGCTCCATGGTCCCGGTGGAAGAAGCCTTGCTGCCCTGCTGGCTCTGTGTGCAGACCGTGGGGACGCACTTTCTCCCCTCCCAGAGGGGCTGCTCTGCCCCTTAGTCCCAGCCTTGGCCCTGGCTCACCAGGGCTCTCCTGTTTACTGCAGCAGGCAGATGTGATCTGTGGGTATAAATCCTGGCTACAGTGAGATGAATCTGGTGCAAGCAAAGGCACTTCCAGAGGGTCACTGACTTTTATGGATGCTGGGTGTTTGCTCCGCGTGCCCCTGAGCTGGCAGGAGGAGGTCCCCACGGTGGGGTCCGCAGAAGTGGCACCATGCGGGGCCAGCATCGCCCCAGCCCGGCTCCAGCCCACGCCAGGACGTGACCCGAGTTTTCTCTCTCAGTGCTGTGCCCTGCCAAGCCCCTAAACATCCAAGACCGGCTGCTGCGCTTGGCACATCCCTCCCTCCTCCTCCTCCTTCCCCTTCTGCGGGACCCGACTGGCGCCACAGATTAACCCCAACGTGGGGGACATGGTGCTGGGATATGGCCGGCAGGGATGCAGGAGGCACATCCCCTTGGGACAAGGGTCGTGCTGGGATCAGACCCCCCACCTCTCTGGGACACGTTCGTACCAGGATCAGACCACCCCCCCGCCCCAGGACACGGCCATGCCATGATCGACCCCCCCGACCCTGCCCGGCACATGGTCGTGCCGGGATCATACCCCGCATCCAGGACACGGCTGCACCGCTATCAGCCCCCTCCGGGACACGGACGTGCAGGGTTCAGACCTCCCGCCCAGGGACACCATCCCGCCGGGATCACACCTCCCACGGGGGACACGGTCGCGCCGGGACCAGACCCCCACCGGGGCACGCAGTTGCGCGGGGATCAGCACCCCCCGCGGGGACACGATCCCGC